CACACATAACATGATAAGGAATGGACAGTCGGGGAATGGACAGGAAGAACATGATAAGGAATGGACAGTCAGGGAATGGACACACATAACATGATAAGGAATGGACAGTCGGGGAATGGACAGGAAGAACATGATAAGGAATGGACAGATGTGGTGGAAACGAAGAACGTGATAAGTGATAGACAGACCGGGTTGGACAGGAAGAACTTGGTTAGTAATGGACCAACTTGGGTAGACAGGCAGGCGACTAGGAAATGATGAATGAAGGTAAGTGATCTGGAATGAGAAACGGTGGAGGCTTCCTGGATATGGTGGGGGAGTCTGAAGTTGGTGGGATGCTGAGTGGGGTGTCTACTGCTGGTTTTCATTTGGGGGGGGGGTGTTGCTGCTCTTCTCGCAAGTCTGTTAAAGAGGGTAGAGCCACACTGCAGGTGCAACTGTGGGACGCGCCACTGGCCACTGAATGCAGCCCATTCAGCTGGGCCCACTGGGGCTGTGCTACGGGCTACCGGATAATCCCTTTGGTAATCGGATTATGTAAATTCATACTCCACACAGAGAGGCTTTCATGGAAGACTGCATCTCTGAAACGACACTTGAAGGGTGGAGAGAAACAGTGACAATTGCTTAAACTAGACATTATTTCTAATTTGAGCTGGCTGGAAGTGGGGAAGAGAGTGTGGCGATGGTTTGCCGATAGGGGGGCCTTAGCACTGGGCTGGGCCTGTAACAGGACAAGAGCAGCTTCCAGACCTGCCTGGGCCCTTCGTGACGCTGTCACGTCGACTCACACTCACGTTCTACCCCATGCCTGTGCTCCCAAAATGGCTCAGCCAGATTACTGCACGACATTGTCTAAAGCCTGCTTCTGCTATTGTGCCATTTTACGCTCCCATACGGCACGGAAGCTCTCTTTCTCTTGACTGCATTCTGGAGCATCTCTTTAAGACTATTCCTCAGCCCTCAAAATCAATGAAGATGTAGCACCGGGCATTTGTGTAAGAAATGCTAACATTTACTGCGAAAGTTCTGAAGGCAGGATAGGACTGTCAGCTAAGGTATAAAAAAAAAAAAAAACACAACTGGAGGACAATGAAGGAAAACAATGGGCGCACAAAAACATAAGAAACCTGGAGAAGCTAGTCTGGGCTTAGAGATCATCTCACAATGCCTCTCACTATGATGCCAAAAGAATCGTAAATACAAATGCCAACTCCATAATCATATTCTTCCTGCCACATTTTGTAACATTGTGTTCACACACTGATAATACGTAAGGTTTTTAATCAATAACACTTATTAACTGCTTATTAATTTGCGAAGCGTCACAAACATATGGTTATGTTTTTATCAATTTTATTAATTTTAAGTATAACAGAAATAACAGAAAATAACAGAAATAACTAATTGGTAATTGTTAACTATTACGTTCTGGCTAATGAAGATTATATATAACCAGATCAATATGGCCAATTTTTGTGTATTTTTTTCTCTTGCAATTGAAGAATATTAGACTGTAATGCATGTTAATATGAAGTCTCACAGGAACCATCAACTTTATCACAGATGCTAGCAGGAAAACACGTTGTAAATCTCCTAGCTTAGCATGCTTGTATTGTTTTTAGCTTTGCATGGTAAGCTTAGTAAGTACATAAGGTAATGTAATGTAAATGAAAGCCTGCCGTGCCATAAAGCAGGCCGTGGGAAGAGCCCAGGGGCAGCACGCGTCACACAATGAAGTCCAAGCTGCTATAAAGGGGCAGGCGTGCCTCCTCTCCCAACAGAGAGCGCTAGCATAGAGAGCGGCCAGAGAGGGCTAGCAGCACAAACCACGCAGAAATCCATCGCCGAGAGCCTGTGGTCAGAGTCAGCAGTCCTGACAGCTAGCCGTGGGAGCCATCTTTAAGATCTAGCAGAGAGTATGGAGAGGACATAAGGAGCCGGAGCGAGCAGTGACTCAGCTGGCCATCGCATCCGCCCGTCCACAGGTGAGCAGGCATCTGCACGTATTCATATAGCGGTGGCGAGAGTGTACACCAGTAAACTGCGTGAGAAACGATGTGAGTCGTCCTGTGATGTCAAATCCCTAGTACATCCGCGAGACTATAAAAATTGCTATTCTGTGTTATACTGTAAATTTTCTGTACTGAAAGGCACTGTCTCACTGTAAAACATGAATGTTAAAATATATATGCTGCAATATTCCAGTTTCATTTCTATTAGGTTGCACTCACGTATTTTATTGTATGGAAAGTATTATATTCATTTAATAATTTGTTGTTAAAAAAAAGCTATGCATTTGAACTACATTACTGCAAGGTTTTATTAAATGCATAACTATAGAATATATTTTTACATAAAAATAAATTTTGACTTTCTTTTAAAGCAAATACTGTATACGCTTCTATTTGAGGGATATTCCCTCAAATAGAAATACTTTTGCGGTTTATATTCTGCTTCTGTTTGTGGAAATGAGTAGTATTCTACAACAGCAGCTGTCAGTAACATAAAAATGTGCGCATATGTACCCAGTTATTTAAACAAAAATTTGTTTTACAATTTCACTTTTCCAGTATTACCTTATAACCAGTGCTGGGCATTTCAGATCCAGAAGCTACAAATCCAGACCAAGATTTTGTTTCTACCAACTAGTCGTGCAAAAAGAGTCACAGTCACAGAGTACTCATTTGGTTGGTAGGAACAAAAATTTGGTCTGGATTTGTAGCTTCTGGACCTGAAATACCCAACATTGCTTATAACTTATTTTCACATTATAAGGGACTTTCACATTATAAGGGACTTTCACATTACTAAGGGACTTTCACATTACTAAGGGACTTTCACATTACTAAGGGAATGTGCGATTAGAGCCCATGGCTCCAACAATAAGGCATCATTAAAAAAGTGTTAGTCAAGCGGGTGCCCTGATTCTTTCTGCAGATCAAGACGCCGACCCCCCCACCCCCGCTCCCACCCTCTGCCTCACCATGACCAGGAAGGTGTTCACCAACACGCGGGAGCGCTGGCGGCAGCAGAACGTCAACAGTGCCTTCGCCGAGCTGCGCAAGCTCCTTCCCACCCACCCCCCGGAGAAGAAGCTGAGCAAGAACGAGATCCTGCGCCTGGCCATGCGCTACATCGGCTTCCTGGTGCAGCTGCTGGAGCGCCAGGGGGGGCGGCCCACCCTCCTCAGCATCCTGCACTCGGCCCAGGGGCTGGCCAGTGACACAGACCCCCCTTCTCCCGGCTCCAGCTGTGACAGCTCTGAGGCCTGGTAGCGCCCCCCCCCCTCCATGCAGCCCTGCTATCTCTGTACATGTACAGTCTACCAGAACTGCTGCCAAACCAGTGCCAACGCATCCCATCTTCGTCCCACCTCCATTCCATCTCACCACGGCCCAATTCTAGCCCCAGCCAGGCTGAGCTCTTGAGAAGATGCGTAGGGGGTTTTCTGAACACGGTTAGAGGATATGCCGTTGGGATAGGCCGCTGGTCTTCAACCAAGTTTTGATACTTTTAACTGGGGTATACCGAACCTTTATGGCCAGCTTAGCACTTGCACATATCCAGGGATTCTAGTCCTAATTATATATAAGGTCAGTCTGTTTTAGATACGACAGATCACACACATCAGACAGCCTTGCACACCGGGGATATCCTGCAGGCAAACAAAATCAGAAACCTGACACCAAAAGAGAGACTCCATCATTTGATGCATTCAGGCAAATATCTGAAACACATGAAATAAATTCTCACCAAGGACTGCTGGGAGATTTGAGGGAAACGAGGAAGAATCCCTAACCATCTCATCAAGGGCAGCAGTGAGTTCACACAAAAGACAAAGGGAGCCCGGATGCCTTGTTCTGTTTAAATGTCAATAGGAAAGAAAGACAGTGCTTAACAAAAGCCAGGAACTGCGATGACTGGCTGGGGTAGAGCTCTGCTTTGGCTATAAACAGTACTGCGGGGGCCCATAAAGACAACCTCATTTCATCAACAAGGACCACAGGAATAATATGTAGGATTTTTTTGTCTATTTATTGGGGCATCAGGGATTAGACTCGTGGGAAAATAGACAATCTTTTTAGTGATATGTATGTTCTGTTTGATCACTGCTTATCACAGCTTAATTTGCTGTTTGTACAAGAAATATGTAGCCAAAGATTGTTGTTTTTTCTGATCAATTTTTCTCATCGGTGGGCTATTAATATTTAACGTTATATTGGTATCTGTATTGTTTTCCATGTTAATTCTATTGGATTTGTTTTTATGTCGAAATGTATTTATTATAATTGTATTTATTTGTCAATAGAAATGTGTGAAAATACCTCCTTTGCTTATCTGGAATTCTGAAAAACACCATTCTATCATTGCTATCTAAAGGAGTAAAAACAAATTTCAGAATCTGTCGTGATCATTCACAATGTTATTTAACACTGTGAAATTGAGTTGATAAAGGACTGACTGAATTTTCCTTTAAAACAAACATCTTTGGTACGCTGACCGTGGTTTGCAAATCCATGAATGAATTATGGGCCATTCTCCTTTAAATGTTTTCTTGAAATGTTCTACAGAAGTCAGTTCCCTAGGTAATGAGCAGTACTAATGGTCCATTACACAGCCTTTGATCCCCAGACGAGCACAGTGATGACCCCTGGGTCATGTCCGAAAGCAGTGAGGACAGGGAATGAAAGGACAGCTTAACTTGTGACCTGGAGTCAGAGGTCAGCCTGCAGTGATGCCCTCAACCCTCTTTCTGACCATCATGAGCCAAAAAGGCTGAACTTCAGAAGGGGTGTGGCCAAGATCCTGAGATGTGCAGGACCACAAAGCGCTGTTTGTTTAATCCATGAATTAGCATATTTAATGCCCACTGACTGAACTCTACGGTCCAGGGCTTTCCATTTAGTCCTCCCATTTCTTCCTGTCCTCTTTTCATATATTTCATGTAATGGAATCATTTTCTGAGTATTAAATCTCCACTTTTGGTATGGCTGACCTTAATGTGGCAGAAGACAAACAGTGAAATGTCTATATCATTAGTCGCTTTAATGGTATACCTACCAGCGGCCCCACTGAGAGTCTGAAGACACCAGACACCAGACACTGTCAGTTCAAAGCCAGGAGCACACCCAGCTGATTTTAATTGACTGAAGCTGTCAGGTTGTTGGTGAATGTTGGTAACTGCCTGTCATGCCGATTCGTGTGGCACGGTTGGACCAAGTTGGCGCCGTTTTGGCTGGTTGAGCATGTTGAACTGGTGTTGAAGCTAGTTGGTGAGTCGGCTCTCTGACCAGGCTGTATGTCGACCAGGTCCCCTAGTCACCCTGGCGTGTTCCATGGCAAAAACCACACGACCGACAGGAGCTGTCTGATTGTCTGGCTTGGTTGGCGCTAGCTTTTTGTCACGGGCTTGATGTGTACCCAGCGTAAAGCACACAGTCCTGGCCCTGCTTTCGGACTCCAGCTCCCACACCGTCAGTCCTGCTAACGCAGATCGTAGCTGCAGCTGACCACACAGAGCAGCCTGGACAGGCAGCTGACACATTCATGCTCGCTATAGTACACTTCTCACTTCTCCTTTTTTGTTTTTGTTTCTGACTACTGTACATCCCATGATATGTACAGCTGTATCAAATACATTCTAATTTTTGTTGACTATCTATCCATCCACCTTCCAGCTGCTGCGGAACAAGTTTGCAGTTGCTTATAATATAGAAGTATTCAATGTATTTAGCCAGTGCTTTTTATGAAGACAGCATTTACAGTTTTACCCAAATTATTTACTCTTTTCAGATGATTTACTCTTTTCACGCTCAGTGGAAAAGAAGGAAGAATCTTCTTCCTATGTTTCCAGAACCACTTCAATGGTTTATGAGTTCAGAGATGCTTTTTTAACCACCACTTCCTACTCGAAACTCGTTTTTGCACGTTTGACCTTCCTCTTAGCTTTAACAAGCCTGGCCATTGTCATCCAACCTGCCATTGACACAGTGTCTTTACTATGGTAACTATAGTAGTACTCCTTTCTCGACGTTATTTTTTTGTAGCACCATCCTCTGTAAACTCTACATGAAAATCCAGTGATGGTGGTTGTTTCTGAGATGCTGGATTCACCATGTCTGCCACCAACATCCACGTCACGCTTATGATGATTTTTAACCTTGTCTGCATGCTGCATGTATTGAGTTGTGCCACATGAGTCACTGTTTGTATTTACCTAATAAAGTGGCCTTTGCGTGTATGTGTGCGTGTGTGTGTGTGCGTAATGCACGCATTGTTTGCTGTGTATGGACTACACTAGAATACCTGTCATATGTCGCATGGAACCTGTCACTTCAGCCAGATGACTCCACTGTGCCTGTAAAAGTCCACTTCGTATTCCGTTAGTGTCCACCCAAGTGCACGTTTCTGATAGGCTATTCCCTCTAGAGGCTCGAGGTAATGGCCTATTGAGGGCACATTTCCTTATCTGTGCCTAGCACACTGTGTGAGCCCGCTATCACAATGGGCCATGTCGCTGCCTCTCTTCCAAGCTGAGGACGCATGAGAAAGGCTCTCAGACTGTGGCTGCCAAGCGTTTGCTCCTGAGCTCTTTATCCTACTAAACTGATTCATATTATGCGTGTTTTGCTCTCCCACTCTGCCTTTCTCCCTCTCTCTCTCTCGCTGCTCCACCACCTTATCTTCCACTGCAGAACGGCCCCACCACGGCTGCAGGTGCAGGCTGGAGGGGTGGGAATGGGAGGGGGGGGGGTGGGTCTGAGGACTGGGCAATGCCCTCTCCTGTGAAGCACTTTTTATGGGCTGCTGCCCCACATTTTAATCAGATTATGTAAATATACACTTCAAAAAGCACTAAAGTGTAACACACACCAGAGTGGGAGGTGGGAGGAGTCCGGAAGGTTGCGGCCTGATGACACCCCCGTCACCCACACAGAATGACGTCCTCTGTCTGCATGCGTGTAAGTCACCATTCACTAGGGGTGTGTGCCCGGGTACCCACCATGAGAAGGTCCTGGCACTGCTCACTGGTATTATTTCTTTAGTTTTGTTACAGTTCAGTCACTGGCCACTGCTCATTATATTCTCACACAAAAGAAGGCTAAGCTAGTTTAAAATAAATTGTAACTATGAGCTAAAGAGTTGAAATTTGGTAGCATTTCCATTATGTTCATTTGGAGGATTAATGGCCATTAATGAGGTGGGAAGGTCCAGTGGCCAGTGAAAAAGGAAAAAAAAAACCTTACAGTAAAATAGGTTGCATTGTAGAGCAGGATGAGGGAGCCCTCCAGTGGTAAATCGGGCTATTACAGGGACTGAAGGCATTGTCAGTGAATGCAAAGCACATTTTCTGAGTGCAAGCAATAATTCTGGGTCAACAAATAAGCCCGTGTCTGTATTTACCAATTTATCGCACCAATCACCATTCATCAGTTGTCATTGTTTATCTGTGTTATTAACCATTGATTGGTGATCCAAACCTAAGATATATCTAAATAACCTAAGATGACGCAAATCATTTTAAAATGTGGTGGGATTGCTGTTGCCAGAAATGGTGAATCCAGTGTCTCAGAGAAAGCCACCACCCTGAGATTCATGTACTGGAGAGTCTGAAGTTGAGAGCGTTCAATGCGTAGATTTACGATGGTTGATGAAGTCGCGGTATACACCTCACTTTTCCCGCCTGTTGATTTGCACAAAGTGAACACGCAGACAAAATCTGTTCCTGTGAGAAAAATGAACTCACCAACACCAACTAACTCTCCACCGTGAAGGGTAGCGTTAGTGTAAATGGGTAGTGAATAAAAGCTAGACGACAAGAGAGGAGAGGACACAAAACTACAGTTATTTAGGAGGGAAAACCTCAAGGGGCACGACTGGCTGCCCTCCCCCTTTGGGACATGCTAACAATACGTTACGCTCTTACGCTGTCTGTAGTTCCGCTCTCTCTTCAAACATCTGCAGACCCTTCTTCACGCCACGTGTTCAGGACATGGAGGTGCATGGAGGAGAGAGTGACACAGTGGTTCAGTACTGATGATGGGCTATAGTGTACTTGCCACTACCTAATTTCACTTTCCCTCAGACAGGGGGCGCTGGTGGTGATGCTCACCTAGGGTGGCATATAGGATGGGACTGGTACTGTTCTGGCTACAGACTGTGGACAGAGTAGGTCTGCAGTACCATATAATCACTGATAACAGTATTATTACTCAGGAAGTGAATATTTAATACTCTGAATTACACATTAACCTTATTAGAAGTTTTGAGTATGACTTTAGCAACACAAACCCAGAAAGCCTGCAGATTGACATTAGAATATGTGTAATATAATTATATTTACTTCTAGTTACATTGCCTACAGCTGCTTTTTGAATCACATAATAGCAAACAGATGTAGGAATTATTAGCACAGGTAAATTTTAATATCTCCACCAATATGTTTTGAAATTAATTACATTTTAATTAATTATTATTTTATGATGATTATTAATTAATCGTTATGCTGAATGGTTGGTTCCTCCAAACTCAATTGTGGTATCCCCGTGAGTCTGTTAATGTGAGACTTCAATGGGATTCACTAATTACCAGTATCGCTTAGTAACCTGAGTTAGAAGGCTCGTCCGGTGAGCTGCATCACCAGGTAATGTAAACAATCGGTAGCGAAGCTCCCCTCACGGCCGATGTGAGAGTCTCGCGATATTTCAGGCGAGTTTGAGGTTTCAGAGCGTGTAGCTAGATCACACAGAGGCAGGGACTATTGTGATCACTCAATGAACGGAGGCTGAAGTTGTGTAAAAGACATGCATTTATTCCTAACTAACACTACAACTAACATAAGACAGACATTACACTTAACGTAAACAACAAACACAAAATAACGGAATAGAAATAAACAATGTAATTATGGAAATGCAATGACCAGATTTAAATGGGTAATCTTAAAAGGGAAATACTGTTCTGCAAAGCAAGCACAGTTTGTGGAAATACAACCCTAAACCCTCCACTCTGCTGTCTGTAAGTCCCTAAATCTTTTTGCCATAAAAGTTTTAATAAAATGCTGGCCTCCCTTGTTATCTGTGTGTATGTGTGTGTATTTAAGTGTGTTTGTGGGGTCACTAACCCCCCTTTTGTGCATATGGCCAGCGAGTACCTCTCGTACCAGGGTAGGCCTTGTCTCAGGCCACCTGGAATATGTGCATGTGTGATCCTACACAGATGAGACTGAAACTAAAGGTCCTCTGTCTGTTACTGCTGTGGGCAGTGGTGGCTTAATGGTTAGGGAAGCACACTTGGCACCACTGAGGTTCCCTAAGCAAGGTACTGCTCCCTGCTATGTCGCAATGTCACATATGGGTTAAATGCAGAGGATGCAGTTCATTGTTGTGTGCTGTGGTGTGTCAACAATGACCACTAATCACTTAATTCTACTCTTAATCAATCATTAGTCTTTTTATTGTATGCAATATAGATACCGTTACTATGGTAATGGTGACATTAATAGTGTCAGGGGACGAGAGAGATGATTGTATTTTGGGCACCAAGTCCAGAAGTCTAAAGTCCACAAGTGTGATGTATGATTTTGTATGTGTGTTGACCCAGTTACGTGCTGGAGGAATCCAACAGAGACAATGATAGACAAACACCTTTAATAATTCTTCACTGATGTCTGTGCCCAGATAAATATATGTTAAAATCACCTAATATTAGGATTCCATCTAAATGTAACGGTAACACTTTACTTGATGGGGCACAAATACTTAGTAACAGCTTAGTTACTACTGAAGTACAAATCATGAACAAATATAGTCACTACTTCAGATGTGTCACGATTCAGTAATGATGAACAAACATGAGATCTGTATTTCACTTGTGTTATTCATTAATTGTTCCTTCAGTAGTTCAGAAAGATTTATAAAATTAACAGCAATAGTAACAAATATAGTTACTGCTTGGGATAGAACATGCATCATTAATGATGATTCATTAATGATGAATTAACATGAGATTAATATGTCACAAAGACTTAGTTTGTGGTTAATTAATGTATAAGTAATAGCATAATACTATATTATTTGTGCACCATCCAGTAAAGTGTTACCGATGTAAGACTAAATATTATGTAACTATTTACATAGAAGTCCCTAGTGAAACATCGGCCCTATAATCCAAGGTTTCTATGTTCTGGTGGTACTAAGTAATGTAAATGTCTGAATGATTTTGCAGTTTATAAAATGCCCAGGGTCCGTGCCAGAGGTGGGAAAACATTTAGCCTGGGGGGTGCTATGAGCAGCCAGGGAGGCAATGTACCTTCCACTTCTTTGTTAATACGGAAGTCCCCATCCAGACCATCCTTCAAATAAAAACCAGACCTAGTTAGTAAAGGCTGTGCTTTTGGATGCACACCAAGTCTCTAACTACAATGTGTAACTACAATGTAGTGAGTATAGCCTACTGTAGAGTATAGAGAATTGGTAAGAGATATTGGTAAAACGGACCACAGTTGATCCATGATCCATAAGGATCAGAAAATCAGTACTACAATATACTGACATGTGTTGGAACAAAACTGTATTGTTAATTGTAAAATGCCAAGGCTGTGCAGGGTTTTCCAGATATTGTCACTGTTACAGTTAAACATCATATTATAACACAGTGTTTGCCTTTTCATCTTGATTTTGTTTTCTGCCCATATTTGTTCACTTCACAGTAGAGTTTAAACATTAACTCAGCTAATCTTGCATATTTTTATGAACTGAGACAGTTTAAAGACGCAAAGCATATTTTTGTATTGGCTATATTTTTACCCTTTATGTACTTATTTACTGCTCCACTTTTAGTAGGTATTTGTAAAATGTAATACATCCATCCATCCATCTTCTAACTGCTTATCCTGGTCAGAGTTGTGGGAATACCTGGAGCCTAAATTTAATTCAGCGAAATGCAAAATGATTTTGATTCTGAAGCAGTCAATTGAAAATGAACAAAAAAATTAACAAAAATTAACTGTTTCAATTCACCATCTCGGTAAGCGGAGTAGAAGCACATTAATCTGATTTTATTAACCGACAGAATTTTTTATTTTACCGTGTAATTAAGTAAATATGCCCATGGTTGTTTACTGAACTCTATAACTGCAATATGGCTACAATTTAACTCTACTGTATCGTTCAGACTACAAAAAACCTGCATTGTTGCAATTTGGGTTAGTACTCCAAAATGCAGTCCATAGTTGCATAGGAAGTCAATAGCTCCAAAGATAGAAAGCATTACATGTTTGAAAGGGTACATTGTTTGTTGTTGCTGAAATGGCAGAGATGAACTTGCAAGTTCACATCAGATTTTCAAAGAAGAGTGTGCAGATGTTTAATTTATACAGCTTACTTTGACACACTTGATTCTGTCAGATAAAATGCGGCACCTCCCATGATTCCTGCAGATCTGTGATACTACTTCCTTATCAGTCACATGTCAAGGACATGTGATGGGGCACTTAGAAGTTTCAACCTTTTAGTTAATGATTACATTAATTCAGTATTGTATGAGAAAGTCGGTTCTAGTCAGACTTTCGTATTTGTCAACATGAAGTTCATGTATTACGGACTTGCTTATTTGTTTCTACAAAGTTATATACTACAGTGTACAGACTGTAGCAAAATTTTGGTGTGGTATGCCGAAAACAGTCACTGGATTAACCTGAAACCGGTGCTGGGAAGACTAGTAGAGAGAGGGCATGATGTCACAGTGGTGACTCCTAATGCTACCCTTTCTATGGACCCAACTGAAGATTCACCCTGGAGCTACAAAATATTCAATACCTCAGTTTCTGTGGAACTAATGAAGAGTTGTCTAGAAGAGTTCATTAGCTTTTCAATGTATGAAATGGACCACTTGAACCTCTTGGAGATATTCAGTAAATTCTACCAAATGGCAAACAAAAACTTGAAGGTAATGTTTCAGACTTGTAATGAGCTACTGGAGTCAGAACATTTCATGGAGAGTTTGAAAAAGGATGGATTCCAAGTCATACTAGTTGACCCAATCTATCCATGCGGAGAGCTGGTAGCTGCAAAACTGGGCATCCCTCTGGTGTACACGTTACGCTTCTCTGTTGCCAATGTCATGGAAAGGCTCTGTGGGCAACTGCCAGCACCCCCATCATTTGTACCGGGAGCGATGAGCAAGTATACTGACCAGATGGGATTTATTGATAGAATGATGAACTTACTCTTCTATTGGTCTCAAGATCTGTTTGCTACGATGCTATGGAGAGACCTTGACAAGTTCTACAGTGAAGTTTTAGGTAAGCAGATACTATTTGGGGCACTGAATTGAATTATTTTAAGGCTATCGCAGCCTTGTATATGACAGGATTGTGATTCACTTCACCTGTGTTTTACACCATAACATGAGTTTGCTGATTTTTCCAAAAACAGGGAGCTCTAGTATTTGCTGTTTGTTTTCAATTGTATAAAGGATGTTATTTATCAGTTATGCTGATGTAATTACTATTATTTTACAAGAACATACTACTTCATACCTATAGTGCTATTAGAACACGAGACACATAGAAAGTGTTGAAACAATACTGCATAATACTTCATCATGAAATATCATTGATAGTGTAGTTTGACTTGATTGTTTTTTTCCAAAAGGGAAACCCACCACCCTTTGTGAAACAATAGGGATGGCTGATATCTGGCTGATTCGCACATACTGGGATTTCGAATATCCACGACCTTTTCTTCCCAACTTTAAGTTTGTTGGAGGACTTCACTGTAAGCCTGCTAAGCCGCTCCCTAAGGTAAGAACAAACCGATTTCCCCTTCATACACAGTATTTCCTACCTACAGCCACTGTATTTCCTTATCATGGCTATAATCCTTAATCACTACAAGAAGTGATTTTTACATTGACTTCTATATTTGTCCATATGACTTGAATTTACAATAACAAACACTGGAAGCAGAGATGCTGAAAGAGTACTAATAAGCTCTGACTCAATAACTCAGTAACAAAAGCAGCAGACAATATAAAATTAATAAGGATTAAGAGGTTATGGAAGACGGTGTTGTAAATAACATATAAGGAAACGCAAATTAAGGATGTTTTGACAACAAAGCCATTTTTTAACTTATAGATAGAAAATACAAAACAGTTATAAATACAAAATGCATGTACAAATTAAACTTTTAGCAAATGCATGGACGACTATGGGCTGATATTTGTGCCACTAGAAACTGAATATGAATTTTGTATATTTGAATCTGCAGTTATCCACATTACAAAACTGAATCTGAATGTAACAGTTTGAATCTGAATTCCAGTAACTCGAAATAGCATTTATCCTACCTCGAAAAATTCATTTCGCGAATTCAATTTCAATCTAGTGTGATATACATAACTCGAGATAGCATTTATCCTACCTCGAAAAATTCAGTTCGCAAATTCAATTTCAATCTAGCGTGACACACATCCGGGTCCTTGAGAAAAAGTAATCGACTGCAGATTCACAACGCAACTCATTTCCACGTTTACGACAGTTCTGCAGGTCGGGGTAAAGAGGAGGCGTGTGTGAAGAGGACCCGGATGTGTGTCACACTAGATTGAAATTGAATTCGCAAACTGAATTTTTCGAGGTAGGATAAATGCTATTTCGAGTTACTGGAATTCAAATTCAAACTATTAAATTCAGATTCATTTTTGTAATGCGGATAACTGCAGATTCAAATATACAAAATTCATATTCAGTTTCTAGTGGCACAAATATCAGCCCATAGTAGACATTCTACTCAACTTTTCTTGCAAGAAAGTACAGTATATGGAGGAATGAATAAAGCATATTTGAAACAAAATATTGAAAATGATTGATTTCTGAAAATCTCTATCACCCTTATCATTGTTCTGTAGTTGCTAGCACTTTATTTGGTCCCTTCTAACAGACCAGAGAGGGAATCCAGGGTTAAGAAAATCTTATAATCATATTTTGGAAAAAGCACATACAGATTAATAAACATTACATTTCAGGCCTGTAGCAGCCAGTAATGTAATAACTGCCAATAACATAGTTCTTAATCCATTCTTAATGCAATAAAACTCAATAGTGTATAGCTTACCAATAATGCAATAAACTATTTTTATAAAAAAGATAACTGTCTGTGCATAGTTATTACATTTTTGGCTAATAATTATGCTACAGTCGAACCTCGGTACAACGTACCCCGTTTATAACGTTTACACCAATACAACATTCAAATTTCAATGTCCCGAATTCGCGTAATGCATTATTCCGTTTGCCGGTATCGCTTAGAACGTACACCTTTACAGCGTAAACTTCGATATAACGTATGATTTTCAGAGGAAAATAGGCAAACTGACCTTTGTTACAACGTACAGCCTCATCTTCCGAGCGCGCGCACAATTCAGAATCGGCTGTT